TTGATCAAATGACATATATGAGTTCATGATGTTGATATGGACCAAAAATTATGAAGTTTGACTGTAAATTGACCACGGTTGACTTTTTCCCCAATATAATTGATTTTAGGTCAACTGATCAATTGACTGAGCAAAAATGTGATCCAAGACTTGAAACTTGACATGAGAAATCTTGAGAGTTAAAAATGATCCATGAAATTCATATGGGGCACTAAAAGTCCATTTGTCCTTATGCAAACTCAAACCCTAATTTTCAGTTATCAGTGCTTGAGAAGGTATCTTGAGCTGATCAAACATTGTGTAGTCTTGAACCAATGGAGATCTTGTGAGAGATTACTTGAGAAATGAGAGGGAAAATTTTTGGGTACAATAGGTGGCATCCATAAACATCGTCATTTCATATTCCATTTCGTGAGATGACCATTAATTTGGACGATGTTTCATGTCTTCTTCACATATCAATTAGGAGTGATTTGGTTGACCCTCAAGAAGGCTTCACTCATAATGATGCTATTATAATAGTTATTAATCTTATGGGTGTTCCGTTGGACGAGGCAGCTGAGGAGATCCGGATTCGTAGATATCTTTATTATAGATTGGATTGGTTGAAAATGATATTTGTGCATCAGTGAGCTTCTAGAGTGTATATGATGGTGTTGTTAAGTTGCACCATTCTTGATGACAAGACCTTTACTCTTGTAGAGGCAAAATATTTATCACTTTTTAGGAACTTGAATGGATATGGTAGATATTGCTGGGGAGCAGCATCACTCATCACACTTTACCGATATTTAGGTGATGTTTCCTTCTATACATGCAAGCAGCTTGACAGATATGCCTCTCTTCTAAAGGTACAAAATGTTTAATTTTAATTTTAATTTGATTTATTTTTATTTATTTATTACGATTTTAGTTGATAATATTCATGGTGTGCAACAGTGTTGGACTCACGAGTATTTTCCCACTATTGGGAAAAGAGGTGTGTCTGGAATTTATGGTGTAGATAGTCTACTTCCGAGGGCAATGAAATGGAGTTACAAGCAAGAAACACATAAGGTTGATGAGTTTAGGCATGTGTTAGATGCATTTACACCTGATGATTTCATTTGGCGGCCTTTTGAGGATAACAGACAAGCCCGTCCATTTGATAATATATGTCTCTACAAGGGTGGTCTGAAATGATATGTGACAGTTGTGTTATATTTACCTGACAAATATTTATGTTAGTTTGGATATAGACAGTACATACCCCGCCCACCTCCTGATGTTGACTCACTTGATGTGGATGTTGATTGGGATGGATATGTTCAGGGAGTTTTGGATGTGATTCGTGATGCAATTTTTGCCACCCCGGCCATATGATGTAGTCGATGATTACTTGGCTTGGTATTATATTGTGTTACATCCTCGTTTGGTAGCACGACCAAGGTATGAGGTGAGAGAGATCCCAATTCATTTTTATAACTAAAGACCATCAGACCAGAGGTTATCATATATTTCATGTGAGCTTCATCGTTACTTACAGTGTCACAAGGCAGAGGTTGCCTATACTTGTTTGTCTTGTATGTGCTATCCATAATCAACACAATAGGAAACATATTCAACAACTTCGCTGATTTTGGATGAGCCTAGAAAATATTTATCACAACTTTTGACTCATCTTTTTTCCTGCTCCAGTAAACATAATTTGAATCCTCTATCATTTTAAACAAATGTTTCATTTCCGTTCTAGGGCCCCTTATGTCTTTTTGTATCTTACTCTTATGTTTATATATTTGTGTGATTCGAGTGTCATTCTCTGGATCTCGCTCTTGCAATGACAACAATATGTGTCTTGGTGGAACATGACATTTTATCAAATCAACATTATGATATTGTTCATTTGCATTTAGTCGACCTATAAATGTGCGGCCTTCAAATGTATCAGGTAACTCATGGTTGTGAAGTCTATATTTTACATCAACCTTCCATCCATAACCATCTTTTGACGGTGTTAAACTAATTTTGAAAGGACAATCACATTTCTTACTAGCACTTTGTGTTTTACTATCTCCTTCTTTATATTTTTCACCTCTATCAAAATCAAATATTGCTTTATCACTTCTTCCTCTCTTGCCTGTTTTGGTATCTGAACGAGTTATTATAACTGTCAATTTATTCCTGATTTCAACCTCCCTAATCTACCTTATCGCTTCTTCTTTTATAGTAAATTGTTGTGTTGATGAAAATATTTCAGTGGTATCTACGCATGTTTGGTTTTTATCGCATATCAAAGAAATATCACTTGTTTAACATAATAATAAAAATAAAATAAAAAAGGCATCAAAATACCAGTGTAACAGAAATCCGATTGGTACAAAAATCATAACCGAAATATATTGATTAATGATTTTAGATTGGTGAATATTATAAATTGGAAAACACACAACTAGGTTATCTAATTATCTGATTAATATTAATGAACCGGATTTCAGCCACACTAGTTATTTGGTTAATAGAAAATGTAACCCAGATGTTATAGGAAAATAAACATACCAAAATTTTACATAACACGTTATCTAATTTGCTGGAATGGGTGCACACTTGTCAATTTCACAAGTGTTGAGATGAATAGTAAAAATAGTAAAGACTAAAACATAAAAGTGAAAATAGAAAAAGAGTAAACTTGAAATATTTTTAAAATTGTAGGGGTAGAGAGATAACTATAGAGGTACATGGTAAAATTTTCGAGAAGTCTTTGGTAAAATACTAGAAATGCAGTTAGGAGTGGTCAAATTAACTGATTTTTTAAATTATCCATGCCCATATTTAAATTATTATTAAAAATCGATTAATTATTAATATGATTTTAATCAAATTCATATTTTAGATATCCATATCCAAAATAAAAATCAAATTTGTCTATTTTTTGAAATCACATAAAACATTTTAAATTAAATATTTATAAAAAATAAATTGGAATTTTTTAAAGAAAGTAATTTAAAAAAATAATTTTTAATAAAGAATACTTTTTTTTTGAAAAATATGTTTTTTCTAAAAAGAATATTTATTTTCCAAAAAATCGATATTTAAAAAAAAGTTTTTTTTTTAAATATCAAAAAATACATTTTTTTTATGAATTTTTTTTTTAATTAAGTCTAAAACTAATTATTTATATAATTGATTTATAACCATTTTTTAAAAATGGAATACGGTTATGGTTAATGACAATTGGTTTTAATAACCGATTAGAACGTATAGATTATATGTGGTTATAGATTGGTTATGGAAATTAACAATCCATGAGTATCCCTAAATACAGTAAATAGGAACTGAGAAGTTGGATCATCGTAACAAAAACTCTCTTATAGAAGGGGAACCTATTTTCGTTAAACAAGACAACCTTGGAAATGAATACTCTACCACTAAAGTGAAGACACTTGAAGAAAAATGCAATCCTTGGAATGCATTGCTAAATTTTTTAGAGTTGTAGGGTCTAGGTCAGGGAAGCAGATTGCAGGCCATCATGATGGGGATGGCCTATCTTATGATGCCTTATGGTGGAACAAGAATCTGTTTATTCAGTTTTAGAGACATATTAGGACATAAATTTGAAGGAAAGGTTATAGAATCAAGAGAAGTGATGGAAAAACCTTGACCATTTCCAACGTGGATATGGTCAGTTTCAGGAGAGAGACAGAGTCCGGCATCATGGTGTGTTGCTCTTGAATCTGGATATCAAGCTTCATTGTAGAGAGGTGAGGAATTAGTACCAGTTACTAGGGCTTCAGGTCTGGGTGCAGTGCATTGAGAGTACAGGGACTCAGGTCATTATGAGTTCATGCTCATGGAATTAGGTGCTCTATAATCGGGCGGTGTCCAAACATTTGACTGAGTCAACCTCCATGGGTTGGCCTAGCGGTTGAGGCTTGGGTCTAAAAGTGTATTCTTCTCAAAGTCTCAGGTTCGAATCCCGCTAAGTGCATACAATTTACGTGTTGGGTCAGTTCATACAGAACCTTGCTCTGATCTTAAACGGACCCCCTCAAATGGACGGTGGGATTTGATCCCCTTGAATTAATGGATCACAAGACCGGATAACGGACCCCCTCAAATGGACGGTGGGATTTGATCCCCTTGAATTAATGGATCACAAGACCGGATACTAAGATTTCAAAAAATAAAACATTTGACTGAGTCATGCATTACTGCCATAGGACTGAGGTGTGCCATAGTTGCCATATTTCACCATATTCGTACCGCGAAGAACTCTTTCCACATGTTGTTTCCATTGACGATAATTAGTTTCATCAAGCTTCACAAAAATTCTCTTTGAATGTTGATTTCGCAACAGTAGAGACTTCATCAAGCTTCAAAAAAATTCTCTCTTTGAATGTTGATTTTGCAACAGTAGAGATTTCATCATGTATTCTAGTAGCTTGAGATGAAATTGCATAGGTGTAGCCATAAGATTGAAAGGAACAGGTTCACGCAGTGGATCACAAGCTCATTGATACCATTTTAAAAATGATGTTAGAGATAGAGATCACATATAGAAGAACAGAGAGTTAGAGAATGTTAACAAAATTTAGAAATCTTCATTGATTATAATTCTGTTACAATGGGAGTTTATATATAGTTAACTTAACCTTAGGTTAAACATGAAATCTTGAAGAGATTTATGTTATCTCATCTAAATGCCTTTGTATCTTGTAAATAAACGTCAAGACAATAATCTAAATGAGGTGATAATATAGAAAAATACTGCAACTTCCTTCTCTTTATTATAAATTAAAACAAGATTTATTGCCCATTGTCGGAGTAGGAAAGAGATTCTCATGATACAACAAATCATGAATCGATAATTATATACATATATATATGGGCAACCAGCTAGAGAGATACAATGTATAATTCCAACTTAAAAAAAGACAGCTGGATCATTTTTTGCAGAATCTCATCCTACGGCACAAACCGAAGTGCCAACTTTTACTCTTTATTTAGCTACGGTTCTAGTGATTCTAGTCATTGTTCTTGGCATTTTGAAATCAAGATATTGGACCATCCTTCTTATCTTTGTTAGCAGGAGGTCCATTCCCATTCCGCTGGACAGCAAATTCCTGTGACTCGGCCGAGTTAGGAGATGGACTAACTTCTTCCTCAATTGGAAGGGTTCGTTTTGAGCCTTCAAGTGCAACACCGAGAAGAATATTCTCTTCTAAGGGAGGCCTAACTGGTGATGATGACAAAGAAGATTTATCGTCATTAGCAGAAGAAGTTTCGTCCCTGCTAGACTCAGGGGAAGTAACAGGAGAAGTTTCAGATACAGTACTTTGTGCAAGGTTTTTAGATACAGGAATTGTAGTTCCCTTTCCTACATCTCCAGTACTTTCTTTTTTAGGCTGCAAGGTTTTGGTGGTCTTCTCCACTGAACTATCGGAACCCATGTTCTGGATTTGAGCGTCAGAATTTGACTTGGACTTATCCTTGGAGTTCACACCAAGTGGAGAGGTTGATGTTCCTGCAAAATTCTCATCACTTTTGGAGTCAGATGCCACTGGTTCCTCTATCTTAGCATCTTTTTCCTCATTGCCCCGAGTTGATCGAGTTGACGGCTTAACTTTATCGTCACCATTAACTTTATATGGTGGTTCTATCAGTAGGAATGGACGATTTACTGCTGCTCTGGATCGAGTAAAAATGCCATCGCCAAAGGGAATATTTTCTGAGGCAGGCTCACTGTATATTTTCTGAACTGTGCGGATAGGAGTGGCTAACCGAGCTCGATGATGACTGACAACTCTGAGAAGATCCAAAAGGATTGCCTCCTGTTTTATTACACATGAATCATCTTAATTAAGCCACTTTATTTATTCGAAAAACAGAATAGTATGTACGTAAATTAAACAATAATGGTTTTAAATGTAAAAACACACCATAAACACTGAATTGATGACCTGCATAACCATGCCTTGGGATTGTATTATTTTACCTTAACACAGAGGTACTCCTCAAAATGTGAAGTCTTCACAAAGCAAGATATCAATATCTGCAATGGGAAGGGCCATTATTAAGATATAGTAAATTGATAAACAGCAAGTGAAACAACAATTAAGTGTTTTCCTTCTAGGCCGAGTCGACTACATAGATCGAACAATAATGTCTTCTCGTAAATTGTCTAGTGACAAACCAATCTACAGTCTTCTAAATTATTTGGCCTCTGGTTTTCTAGGTCTCCCTATACCAACTATGGGCAACCTATTTGATATACTCACCTAATTGCAGTTTTACAAGTTTTCTCCATGCATGACCAAATCACATAGAACAACTATGGGCAACCTATTTGATATACTCACCTAATTGCAGTTTTACAAGTTTTCTCCATGCATGACCAAATCACATAGAACAAGATTCCACCATCTTTTTCACAGGTGCCACCCCAATTTATGACTAATGCATTTGTAGAATTGGGTAATATTTTTTTAATGTTGGTCCACAAAATAATTCGAGTACAATCACTTAACTTTATAAATAGGTTAAGATATACCTAATGGGCCTAATTAAGGGGCTAAATATAATCTATACAAAAATTCATTCCTAATCCTATCGTATGTTGTGTGGCCACTCATTAAGACATTAAGCCTGTTTTCTTAAACGCTCTTTACCATCAACATTCAGCCACATACACCATAGGTTTTATAGCTACATGGCGTATAGTTTCCCCTTATGCCTTAGTCGTACTTACCTATCATAGATAACACCCAAAGCACTCTCATTTGACTCACTTTGCTTGAATATTTAAGATCTACATACCTTTAGAGCTTGGTTTTCAGGATTGATATCTTCCAAAAATACCCTTCTGTGCAATTTCTGCTGCTCCACTTGAGGGTTTTTAGCCAAAACCTTGCGCATATCTGCTACAATACTCTGCATGAAGAAAATGAAAAGTAGATAACACCAGTTTTCACATTAAAAAATGAGCATCAGAAACTTCTTGAATGGGTTTTTAAGAATGCTCACATTAATTTTGTTAACATCCAAGTGACTGATAGAAATGTAACTCTTGATACGCCAATGAGATTTCTGAGTCAGATTTCTCACAACATTGACAGTGAACTTGTGATTAGGAATATGAACTGCCTCACGATCATCACCTCTAATAATGGTTGGTGACCACCAGCCCACATGCTGGAGAAAAGATGAAATTTGAATACAACATCGCAGAAGTAATGCAAAGAAGGAAATCCATCTTAAAAAAATTATTATTAAAATTTGACAAGATCTTCTATTTGTCAAATGATTGTGGGGAGCACCCATTTTAAAAAATAAAAAAATTATTATTGAAGATATATTATACTCATATGTAAAAGTTCCTTTAAGGTAGAAACAAACCTCAACAGTGCCAGAAACCTCGTATCCTTCAATCTTTGTTTGAATCCACTCATTCAATATAAATGGCCGAGTTGCATGGATCATTATACTTGACAGGAAGTTCGTAAATATCTGGGTTAATCACAAGTTTAAAGTTAGAATGGCTGTAAACAAAAGTTTTAAATTATTTATTTATTTTTCCAAAAAGTTCATTTAATTGATAATGGCTATAAGCTGTACACCTAACCTAAAAGACAAGCTCTTACAAAATGTATGGTAATCCCCAAAATGCAATGAATACGAGGCCTTAAACAAATTCAACTAGTATATAGCAGACAGTACAAAAGAAACAATGGTGTACCTCCCGACCGGCAAGAGTAAGCAATACTGTGCCCAAACCACCAGCAGTTAACCACTTCTGTGTGGAGAAACCTAGCAATTCCATGAACAGTGACACAGCAGCAACCCATACAGCAGTGTATATTGCCTTCCCAGCAAAATCAAGGCCCATCTGCCAGTCAATTCTTCTTAAATGAGCATGGATAAACAGAAAACGAAGATTTGATTTAAACATTCAATCCATATATGAAAAACTAGTGTATATAATATATCACCGATCCAATTATTATTCCTAGACGTTCAGTATAATCCTAATATTAATTTCTAGTGATATTACCAAAAAAAAAAAAAAACAGAATAAAAATCCAAGTATTCATTGGAGAATCGAAAGTATTCAGACAACAAAAATAACTAGTTCAACAGTACTTTGGAAGAAAAACACTTCAGACACAACTGGAAAATGACAAGAACAGACGAAGCGGTAAAAGAAAGTGATAATCATACATTTCTTGCATCACTGGATTCATTTGCCTCCAAAAAGAATTTTTGAGCTTGTTGAATTAAGCTGAAAACAAGAAATAAACCATATAACATTATAATGTAAATGTAGTCAGGACCCCGATACACATTTCATACTGAAAAAGAGCAGCAAGTAGAGTTAAAAAGAATAAAGCAGTATCTCTTCATGACTGATACAAAGCAGAAACCATAACTACTATTCCATCCGTCCATATTCTTTGGTCTTTTAAGCTTTTTACTTTTGTCCCAAAACTTTGGTTGTTTTCGGAAACCAAGAAGCAATTAAACATGTTTTCCATCTTGAGTATACTATTACAATCAAACTGATTAGGGACCGAGGGAGTAACAAATAGAAATGCAAACTGATAACAGCATTGCAAGGAGGGGAGCTTTTCTATATCTTAGATTTGTAGTTTAAGATAATCAATCGTATATTAAAAAACATTTCCAGTTCTGCTGGTCATGATTCTTCCATAAATACAATACCTTGATAAACAGTATGCAAATGAAATCACTGTTGACAAAGATCTCACAAAGTTAAGCAGTCGTTGCTTCACAACCTGGCTATTCGGAGATGGCAGAACAATTGGATCTAGTGCCCTGAAACAAATAACAATATGATCAACACCGTCAAGGATTTAAGGGGGGTTTACTTACTGATCCAGAAACAAACCTGCATATGAGCATTGCCCCAGTCCACAACAATAATGGCTGAAAATATGATGTCATAACATATCGTGAACTACTTTTCTTCCAACTACCGTCAGTCCTCTGAAAAAAAATTAAAATCAGAAAAAGAAAAAAGGTGCTAATATAGTATTCAATCAGGGTTTGGAAGAAAGAAAAATGAATTGTAAGTTGGTAATTACTTGAAGAAATAGAATCCTGCTGAGACGAAGAAGAGGCTCTATACCATAAACAGCAAAGGCAATAATACCAAGGGCTGGGATCAATCGAAGCAAAATAGGGCTTCCCAGTAAAGAATCATATGACCTGCATAAATATCTAAAAATAAATTTTCCATAGCTTATGCATTGAATAATAGGTTAAAAAGGAAGAAAAGCAATAAAAAAAATAGTCCAAATTTAACACCAATTGATACCAGTTATCTTCCTTCAGAAATAACACAAAGATACAAATTAAATGCATCACATTATCATCTTGCACATTACTTTTACAAGTTAATATGTTAATTAACATATATCTTGGTGGCTCTAGTCAGTGCCAATCAATATTTCACTCCTCAGAGAAAAAGGAAACAAGTTGTGCACAGATTTAAGTTGGTTGAAAATATATGTCAACATGCCATTAAATAGCTAACAAAAGCTGGACAGGGGTTGGTGGGGAGTAACCATGCAGCTTAGTTTAACACTAGTCAACTGACTTGTAGGTGGTTTAAAGATGATTAAAATTGATCTACCATACTATATTTTGGGGAGTAAGATAACAACAAAATAATAACCATGACAACCAAGAGATTTTGAAATCACATCTTCACCCAAAACCTTAATGTATTGAGTATATTTGTCATCTCTCTTATATATCTTTCACTTAGCGAACTTTTATCCGAAGCGGGACTAACAACTCAGAGTTGAATTACAACAATCTCTTTCTCAAGCACATGAGTCTCCCAGTCCCACATCACTATGTGGAGCCAAAGTCTCTTAAGTGGAGATGTGGTGTCTTGGTCTCTTATATACTGAGGCCTTCCAGAACTCCCAAAACAAATAATTATTCATTTATCTTAGAATGTGTGAGTTGGGCCTAACTCAACCCTACAAAACCGGCTTGTAGGTTGAGGATTGCCCCCACTTATAAACACAACACAAAGCCATATCTCTAAGCAATGTGGGACTACATCCACCCCTTCAAAGCTAACACAATGAAGGTGTTAGGGACTGCAATGAAGGCAAGCCAAAGTGTCGCAATTAAGGCCAAAAGTCCAATGATTTACTCCCAAACCCTAACTTCAAGCTGATTATAGTAAAACCATTACCACGAATTCAGAAGAAATACATACTATTAATGACATAAGCATGATAGTATACTATATACGCGACATTATGAGAAAGAATGCAAATTTATGTTTTATTACATATAGAAGTCAAAGGTGCAAGTCATACAAACCGGGAAAACATAAAAGGTGCACATCATAAAAGTCAAAGAAATATATTGTGCAGCAACAGATTTAAGTTACTTGAAAATATATGTCAAGAAGCTAACAAACAGATACCAAAAACCAGATGGGGGCAGGAGGAGAGCAACCGTGCTACTTCAGTTTGGCACTATGTGACTGCTGGTGGTTTAAAGACGAGACAAACTGAATTGAGAAGTATATCATAGAAAATCTCACATGTCTAGCATGCTATAAAAAATATTTATACGCCTCCAAACAATAACTACAAGCTGATTAAATTAAACCATTAACGTGAATTCAGAAGACAGTAGAACATATTAGTGGCATAAGCATTAGTACATACATGTAATATTATGAGAAAGACTGAAAACGCTATACAAACATACACACAAGGTTGTGGAAACTTTTCTCAATTAACAGAAAAAAGTGAGAGGCAGACCTTGTTAATAAAACGCTAGCAGATTTCACGAGGGCAGTCCCACTCCCTCCACCTGGTAGCATGGCAGACCGACATACAAAAACACTGCATCTGGAAGGAGTCTTCCTTATTGGCGCATGTACTCTACTCAACAAATGAAGACCCAAAGAATCTCGTTTCTGTAGATTCCAAAACAAAGTTTTCCATTGAGTCAGATTTCACACCAAGTAAACACATTCAACATTGAAATGCAAAATAATTACAAAATTCATACCAAAGTACGCGGTAAAAGATTCATAGTGACCAAATGTAAACGACGAACCCGCACCGAATTCTGTCAATTTGAAATAAACATAAATGAAACTCAACATTCTGAACTCAAAACTTCAAAATCATACAAAATACCGAAGAAAAAAATAGCTTAAAAAATCAAAATGAAAACAAACACGTACATGATGGTGGAAACTACTTGGTCCATTATTATTAGTTTTGAGCCTAACATCACAAGAAAATTGCGTTGAACACGGGTACACCATTGTTGAAATTGAAGACTTGAAGCACAAGTTCATGCAATTAATTACAATCACTTCACCCTAACAACTCAATGCCACAGTTTCTTAACGGAATTACAAAAATAAAAAACCTACACAAAAAAAATATATTAAACAAAACCCTAAAAGTTTGGGCGGAGAAACTCGTCAAATTTTCGAAATTAAAAAAAATATATATAATAAAAAGAAAAATGAGATCTAAAGTAGAACCTGAAAGTTGTATAAATAAAATTAATAGATTAATAGATAATAGATAAGATGAATTTGGGTGGAAAGAAATTAATAGAGGTTGTTGTTCTGGTTTTGTTCTTCGTTGGAAAAGATGAAGACTAACATTACGAGTTTACCCTTGGAGGAAAAGAGAGAGGAGTGGATTTTGTGAAGAAAGAAACAAAAGTTGATTGGGATTTGGGTAAAATTGTTTCTTGTACGTAATAAACGCAGTGTTTTACGTATAGTGCTAGATTTTTTATCGTTTATGTGGCGCATGGAAGGTGGTTCCCATAAATCCTAATCCAATCCTTACTGTTGTAATAAAGACGACTTACACGGCATGCTTGTCTGTGTAAACTTTTTTTCTTCTTGTCTAGTTCGTTTTGTGTGTTTTGTAATGCATATCAAACATTGCTTTTCAAGTTAAATGTGAGTTACAAGTAAATAATTTATGTTTGACTAGATTAATTTTTTAATAAAAAATTTAAATATAAAAAATATATTTAAATTAAAATTTTATGAATGTCCTATATGTCTCATCATAATAATACAGATAAAGATTCAAACTACATTTTTCTGAGTTTCATTTTTCAATTAATTTATCTTAGATTTTGTAATTGGCTTGGATGTTAAAGTGTTAATCGTGAAGATCCACCTCGCGCAACTGTATTGAAGATCATCATCACCGTTTCAAGAGTCCAACACACTTATATCATCATCAAATTTAGTTCTCTCGCGGAATAGTGGCTCTATATGTGGGAATAAACACTACTTCGAAAAAGGAATACCACAACTGTTAAAAAAGGATACCACAACGGATGACCAACTGTTGTCAAATAAGAGATAGTTGTATGTAAGACGCTTTCCACCACAAGCGCGCGACCGTGATTATATGTCAAGTGGCGTGCTACCTAACCGTTGTGATATAATTTAAAGAAAAACTTTTAACAACGGTTGTTATTAACAATTATTGTGGTATATACATAAATTATGTGGAATGTTTATTTCACTAATGCTTACTAAACATATAATCTTTCAGTCTGATCTATAACATTATAATATGATAAATTAAGTTATATTAGAAGAACAAGTTACACATTCAATGCTAGACAGGAATTCTTCAGCTTCTTATCTATATTTTGCTCTTTAATTGTTAGAACTTATGTTAATGCTTATAGTTCTTCAACCCCCTTCCTTCACCTCTAGTTCATTTTACAATATATTATTTATATTGCAAACTAAATTATAGGTGAATGAAGGGGGGGTTGAAAAATAAGAAGCGTTAAACTAAGTTTTCACTATTAAAGAGCAAAATGCAGATAATAAACTGAAGGATTCTCATCTAGAATTGAACATGTAACTTGTTTTCAAATATAACTTTATCTATCATATTATAATTTTCTAATACAATCCGAAAAGTTATATATTTAGTAAGGTGTTGGAAAAAAAAACCATATAAGATATGATAAACTCATCTAAAATAAATATTAACAACAAAATTCATCAACAACAAACCTTAAATAACATAGAACGTACATGTCCCATAACGGAATCCAAAATGAAAGAAAAAAAAGGATGAAACTAAAGTGAGAGCAACAAAAATATGTTTGTAGCGCTCACCCAAGTTTGTTGCGCTCACTTTAGCTTCATCCTCGTTAATTTTTTCTCATACATTCATCCATACATACAAGTAAATACAAGCAAAAACATAAACAATTCAAAATATTATATGTTAGGGTTTGAAACAAAAATAGTTATAAATAATATTTAAACATTGTAAGTTAGGGTTTGTGTTGTATCCCAAAATTTACCCTCATTTCTCAAGATATTTCCTACAAAGATCTTCAATACCTCAAGTTTACACAAGTATCGACTAGGTCAAATAATCTCCTCAACACTGATGCCTCAAATTAGGGTTTGAGTTTATACAAAGGCAGTTGGGTTTCTAATGCTTCAAATGACTTTAATGGATCATTATGGACCCTCATGATTTATTTTTGTCAAGTTCCAAGTCTTGGATCACAATTTTCCAAGAAAGTCATTCAAATTACCAAAAGGGCAAAATGACCAAAATTATGGTTTTGACAGAAAATGACTGAACTTTGATTTTTGACCTAATACCTAGCTTATTGGTTGGAAGCATGATCTCAAGGATCCGAGTGCGTCATTTTGACCTAATTGCACATTTCAATTCATCTCCTAAGATCAATGGATTGATAGAATTTGGTCAACTGATGGGAAAAGTCAATTGTACACTAAAAAGTCAAACTTTGACTTTTTGACCAAAGTTGAGTCCTAAAAATAATATTTCATCAAGACATCCAAAATATGAAATTTGATCATCAAAAATCAAGAAAGTCAAAGATCCAACTTTTGCAAGACTTGGAAATTTTTCTAATTTAAGTTCATTGCTTCATGACATCTTGTCACTACAATTCAAAATAGTTAAAGATGTCACAAATAATTCAAGTTATTACAAAGTGGCATTTTTGCAAGTTTACAAATCCTAAACTTTATATTGTTTGGACTTTTTTTTTCTTTAACTCAAAACCTTGCCATAATACTTTGTCTTTGATACAATTTGCATAAATTGCTCCACAAACTAAACTTGTTTCATGCTGTAAACTATGTTGTCCAAGTTATTGTTGAACAAAGTATGATATGCTACTTCTACGCATTGCCACAACACTCCAAAACCCTGCTCCATTATTGTCCTACAAAAAAACCTTGTGTTATGTTACACCATAAACCTGTCACAAAAAACCTGCATATGCTGTCTTATACAGTCCAAAACTGCTCTATGCAGTCTGCTCTAACCTGCATCATAACAGCCACAAAATTGTACCAAAATGGCAAAAGAAAATTGTATGGAAAATGTATCAAAGCAGTAGGCAAAAATAGTTCAAAATAACTTATTTTATTTCCCTCATAAACCTCAGTCAAGGATCTAAAAAAGGCACTGTTTCATAAGACATATAGGGGATTTTTTGAAAAAAGAGAGAGAAGAGAAAAACAGAACTTTTGTAAAACTCAACTCATTTTCAGAAGACTCTGTTCATCTTCAAGTCTGCTTTCACCCACATAACAGAAAAATCCTCAACTCATTATTGTACAACCTTGTAAACTCTCCCACAAACCTTCTAAACACTTCACATCACATAGATATTGTTCAAGCACAAGAACAGTTTCTGAAGTACCCTTATTCTCAACTTCTAAACAAAGGATAGTACTATGCAAACTTGACTGTTTGGATTTGGTTCAGCAACCATCAACATAAATAGAGGTTTAGCAGCTCTCTGGAATTTCATTAAGATCCACACAACATCTTGAAGGGTATTCAGACTCAAAACCTAAAGTGCAGTTTCAAGATAAGTCATTTTAACCTTGCATTTTCCATACATCATTTTTGGTTTATTTCTGAAGATAGGATGTAGCAATCACTACTCTTGAAGTTAATCATTTACATGTTGTTCATGTTTATCATTTATATGTTGAAAACTGATTAATTCATGCAAAAGAATGGTGGTAGAAGCAAAAAACAACAGCATGAGTCGACACATATCCATATGCGTCGACTCATTCTAAGTGGAAAAATAGGGTATGAGTCGACACATGGCCTTATGCATCGACTCATACTGCTATCCAGGTCCCAAAACAGAAAATGGAAGGTGCATGAGTCGACACAAAACGTGCATGTGTCGACACAAACAGGAAATGAGTCGACACATCCCATTATGCATCGATTCATACTGATTTGATTTGGTTTAGCAAGGGCGAATAAAAGTTATGTGTCGATGCATAACGGCATGTGTCAACACATAATAGTTCAAAATGTAGTTTTTCCTTCTTTTTACACTGTTTTTGCATTGTATATATATATTCTTCATTACTGTTCACTTATTTGGTATGGTTGTAATATTAGACACTTATTTCATCCCCATTTAAAAATTGTATCCCCACCCCCTAATGATGTAATAGCTTAGGATTTTTAATTTCTGTAAGTTTACCACTTTTCATATAATTGCTAGTAAGATAGGGTGTGTATGATAAGATAAAATCAACTGTTAGCAAAACCTAATCTCAAAGACTAAATGCATGCAATCAAACACATCTCACACACATACACCTTTAGGATAATCTCACTTGTTGCCTCGGAAAATAGTCATGTCACTCAAATATGGGCGTTTTAGCAAAGACCCTCGATAAAAAGATCGTAGTCCCGCAATGTTGCCTTCGGTAAAATGATCTTAGTCCCTATGAAAATTGCTAAAACGTCTCATAGGTTGCCTTCTACGACTATACAATTGATCCGCACCCGTTCCTTCATATCCAACGATGGGGCTTCTTATCAATCAATGGTAAGATAGCCACATCTAAAGGAGGAGGAAAAGAACATTAGACCTTTTGAGTAGGTAGGACGCTCGTAGTTGCTTGCTCTTGAACTAAAACCATTTTCCACACTTACACTTTCAAAAACATCTTCAAAAACAAACATCTCTTTGAACTATTTTCAAAACTAACACTTTGTACGCATTCTTATAGAGACGAGAATCATTACAAAGTTCGTCGCAACAAAGGTATTTTGAAAAATATTTCCAAACCCACACCATAAAGAACATTTTTAAATAAAGTAAGTGATCTAGCAAGAAACTAAGAGCCCGTAGATAACTACGGATGAAAAGGGTGCTAACACCTTCCCTTTTCATAACCTACCCCCCGAACTCAAGAAAATAATTTCAAAGGTCTTTCATGTTCTTTTCACCCTTTCCTTA